GCTGCTGAGCAGAAGGACGCGTCTCGAATCGGATCTTGGTACCGCGGAAATGTCTAAGAGAAAATGTTTTCTACCGGGATAAATCGTCCGTCATATAAGAATAACAGGAAAGTTTGAATTCAATATCGCAGCGTCGCGTCGGTTCTCGTTCGTAAGTTATTGAGTTTCAAAGTGCAATAGTCAATTCGACGGTACGTGCCGCGCGTACACTGCCGTCGCCGATTCGCCGGCGGTCGATGTGACGAATTTTACTTCCGAACTTTGAAATCCAATAACTCACGGCTCGGTCATCGAATCGACGTGTTACCGGACGGTTTGCCGAGTTTCGGGCAAGCTCATCGTTCTTCATGCGTTTCGCTCCTTGCGACACACGGCTCTAGGGCGCCGAATTTATGGAGCTGGGTTCGACGATGTATATCTTGGCATTAGATATAAGGTCAAAGCGACGGTAATCGTATCTTATAGTGTTGAACCTATAAATTTCCTTTGTTCAAATTTCGCAACTACGGATACGTCAGGATGACTTCTCTCGGCGTAAAACGGGAGAGAGAGAGAGAAAGAAAGAGACAGAGTTGTGAACAAAGAGACATTTGTGAATAACATCTTCCTTGTCAGTTTAGAGTGAACACCTGTCATTTTTTCGAAAAAAAAAAACTATGAACCATATACCATGAACAAGCAATAAAGATATTTTGCAATCAATATATATACTGTCAGAAAAATGACAGTTCTTTATTTAAAATTGACTCAAAAAAGTTCGTTTAAAAAGCCCTTAGTGTTTCAAACTACTCCATTTAATATTACATTTCTTTCGTATAATACTGAAAACCGTCACCAAAATTTTGTTAATTTAATTTCATCATTGATCGTAAATAAGATCACGGCACATTTTCAATTATCACATATTTTGTTGTTGCACTAAATGCAAGGAATTTTTCTACGACATTTCCGCAAGAGCAATAATATCTAGCACTGATCATATTCGTGATCATTAAGTACCACATCAATTACGACGTTTAGATCTACGACGTGTCGACTAAACGTCATTACACCCATCCTCCCACCCCTCGTTCGCCAAGTATATAATTACGCTTTAATTATCCTTCGCTCGAGGTGATTCCGCGGTTACGTGAGAACGAACGTTCGTGTGCGAGCTAAACATGGCGACTACATAACTCTTACACAAACTAAACGGTATGTACGTAGTACACGTCCACGCGGCACTTCGATCGAGCCTTCCTAATAGAGATTCCGTGAAGCTTGTCGTTTCCTACCGGAAGAAACTTCGATTCCGTGATAACTTAGGGTATGCAATTACCATCCATCTAGCGGATGGCATGGGTAACCGGGGTGGTCCCGACCCAAGGGCCGAGAAGGGGTGAGAATGTATTGGAGCAGACGAATCGCAGGCTAATCGACAGAAGATAGTAGAAAATCTTGACCTTGACTATACTAACAGTGTGATAATCCTTTGCTCTTATTTTATAACAACCATTACCGTTATCTATTCAGTTACTACGGTGATTCTCTATTGAAATAGTAGCAAGATCTATCGCTGTGCGCTAGAGAGCGAAATGTATTAATTTAATTGATACATTCGTTTTTATTAACGAATAATCAAGTAAAAATTTGAACGTACAAGAAATGTAAGAAATAAAGAGATGCAAAATAAGCAATAATTCGAAACAAAAGAAAAACGATGCCGTTTAAATAGCAAACTGGCATATTTATTAACGTTCTCAAAATTTGGAAAATTTTCCTTCTGACGAGTCTGATTTTTCGTCAACGTATTTATCATTACGATTTACTATTGTCACTAAAGATGATAATAAATGAATTGACCGCGAATCGACTGTCGAATACACAAGCCATATGAGTCGTCCTTTTCGACCATCATGTATTCGCGTCGCGAATACTACGAAGGGCTGATCGATCTGTCACGTATATTCCAAGCGCACGCGAAGGGGAAAATCCATGGCCCTTTGGTAGACCTTCAAGGTGCTCCCTTTCTGCGTTGGTCGACTGTTTCTCTCTTTCTTTCCTTTCTTCCGATTCTCTACTTTCTTTCTTCCACCGCCCATATTCGATGACGGATCGTTCAACTGAAACGAGTTTTGCTGACTAACGGCTCGTTGTTTCTTTCGCTTTTCGCGTTCTCCTTTCCTTTTTTTCTCTCTTTCTGTCCTAACGATTTTGATCCGTCGCGTCGTCGCGACCGCAGCAGCAGCGGCAGCGGCAGCAGCAGCCATCAACGTCGGCGATGGAATTCCGATCGGAAGATTAGAGGAAACGATCGCACGGCAGCGCGCGGCAGTCGTCCAGAACGTCTGCAAAGAACTTACGCGGAGAAATCTCGCGAGAGTTACGAGTCTCACGGCCGAGTTAGGGGTCGAGGGGCATCTTTTTCCGGCAGGAAGAAAGTCGTGGACGAGAAAGGAAAAAGGCGCGGCAGGAGAAAGGGCGAGAAGTTTCCCCACACGGACCTATCTCCGCCTAGGCGAGTAAATAAATAAACTACGAAGAGACTCGAAAAGTATCGAGATTTCTTCGTTCTTCGATCCGACTTGCATCTCGCAACCTCCCCCCATCTCCGTACCCGTCCGTCCGCTCTCTTCTTCTCGTAGTCCGCTTTTATTTGTAATTTTATTTATCGTTTTCCTTTAACATTAACCGCAAACTCGATACGTACTTTATTGCTTCGCTTCTTACCGATGCTTTTATGAGTTCCGCTTACACGATTTACCTTGGCGGGGTAAATGCGAGAAACGGTTCCGTCTTCTGTATTGTCTCCTCTGTGGCCGCATTTCCCGCCGGGTTTATCCCGCCGGCTCTTCTCTTCTATTTTTCGTTCGATCTCCTCGCGTATCTTCCACTCTACGGCGCCACTACTCGCTCTAGCGGTCTTAATAATTCCGGATGAAAATGGAATTTGCACGCGCCTGTATCCGCGCTGTCGATGCAACAGTGATGGTATAGTTTTTCGCTTTCGGCGCACGTGTAAAATCTACTATCCGCTGGGAGGTCTAGTCCTTCATTACGATCCACCATTTGCGTTGTAACGAACGAACAGCGGTTTCGTCGCGCCACCGCGCTCCCTGCATGCTGTGCATACATATAGAGAATTCACGCCCGCTGGCTCGGAACCTGGGTTGGTATACATTAGTGATTATGCCGCGATATTTCGGTTTTATTGTGCGGTCCGTATACCCCGACGAATTATTTAGCGAGTCCTGCGCCGCCTGCGTACCGATCATTTATCGTTGTTATGCCGCGACAAGAGCATGCTATTGCGAGGGGCTCGCGTTACAGACCGGTCATTCGAAAACTGATCAATTTAACCCTCCAAGTCCTCTTTAGGCGTAACTTGATTAATGAAATAAATCAATTAAATTATTGTATGCAGAACTAATGTAATCATGACCGGTGTAAATTACGGGGACCAAGCAAACCGGAAGGAAACTCTAATACCCGATTATGCAACATATGTATATTTTTGTTCATTGTTTTAAACATTGTAATAGTAAATATTAGAAATAAAAAAGAAATGTTCTACTCTGTGATTCCTGATATATGAAACAGGATGTATCCCTTGTTTCAGTTTTTTTCTTTACTTCGATATAAATTTCTCTATCTCCACGAAGATCTTTCCACTAAAAAAAAAAATCGTTTCCTCAACTCACTTTCAACGATCCCAAACGTAATGTTTGAAGAAAGGTATTAAAGATTTTTAACGAAGTTCGCCGAACGAGATTTTGTTAGGTACGTCATAAAATCGGATGTTGTAATTGGAGAGAATAATGAGGGAGGATGTGCCGGAGCGAAAGGAAGGTAATAGGCATGCCGAGAGGAGGAATGCAGAAATTATGTAATGAGGGTAAAGTAGCGTCTTGTTTCAATGAGATACGTATTATCTCTCTCGCATTATCTCTTATATAAAATAAGAACGTGTATCGATCGATAAGTCGCAGAACGCATCTTGCGCGGAGCGCATCTATATAACTCGATCGTACTTTGTGAACAAACGACGAAAGCTTTGACTTTTCACGGCGAAATTCTCCATATTTTCATAATTGTGTACTTTATCGAGGAAGAAATCAAACGAAACCTACTAATAAAATAATAGTTGTTTAAGATTTTCTTAAAAGCGTGAATTTCTCTTCTTTTCAGACGTGTGCAAGGCCATAAATTATTAATAATGTATTTTCATTATTAATACGCTGTGCATATGTGATTTCTTTCTTTAAACTAACAAATATTGATTAATTGATTAATACCGATTAAGTTTAAAGTGATGAATACCTACTAATATTAATTTTCTTCTAATCCAGTATTGTATTAAATATGAATTAAATTAATATTTGTCATATATGAACGGATAGATAAATCTAAACATTATATTGTAACGTTATAATATTTAGATCGATTGACTAAATTTAAAAGAGTCTAAAAATTAAATGTCCTATAAGCAAATTACGGTATCCGGATATAAAAAGATCATGAAACTCTTCTTCTAAATGCAAATCTTGAGACACGTATATAGACACGTATTCTGCAAGGGATGTCGATATTTTTAGAAACATGGAGACTAAATTTAGAGAGAAGACGTAGCACAAAGAGGAGTAAGATTTCCTTTCTATTTCGAGAGTATTATCGATTACAAACTAAATTGTTAAATACTAGTCAAGTCGACGTACCTTACATTATAAAATTTAGTCATGCATTAATGATCTGCCACGGAATAGTTTACAGAGGTAACAGATTTCGCGAATACATCTCTCTGCCAATATATCGATATCATGAGATATCGTTCCGGGATTTGAAACCATTTCCTTTTCGAAGTGTATGTCGTTACGAGGGGATAAGGTCTCCTCCATTACATTTATGAGATAAATGTGCCGTAATAATCTGGCAAAATTGCACGCACCACTGCTGACATTGCGACTATTTCACGCACGCAGAAAGCAGTTGACATTTGTGTAGCTTATGGCGAACATTCTCACCTGCATTCTAGAAGCGCACTCTTGCCCCTGAGGGTGTACGCCGGAACATTTATGTGAAGTAGCTTCAGAGCAGCGACTGAAACAGAAAAAGAGAGAGGAAGCTCGCGTGAGATCGCATAAATGTCAATTGCGAGTATATACGTTGTCGCCTGGGGGTGCTATCGATGCGACGTCGCCGGAAATGCACGACAACGATTCCTCGAGTGTTCGATTATATTGCCGATAATAAAAGACATAAAAGACACTCTTTCAAAAAGCATCAAGGAATGATTTTTAATTATGAATATGTATGTATAAGCATAATTTGAAGGGGAAACTAGAAGGGAAGAGACAAAATCTTACTTATCTACATACGAAATTTATCAATAATTACATAACGTTATTGAAATTGTTTTCTGGTACATTTTTGTACATAATTTTTTGTATCTTGGCGATACTCGACCGAAATCAAATTCAAATATTTATGGAATCGAGATGACATTAAACTATAATATTTATCGCTACTTTAAATTTATATATTACAGTTAAATATAATAATACATTTATTCTCTTGTTTTATCAAGGAGTCTTTTAAGTTATTCTATAGCTTTAAGTTTCCAAGAGAATGGATGAAGGAGCTGTTACAAAGGTTTACTTGTTAGATCAAGTTAGATCAGGAACTCCTGAACAAGTGCTACTTCAATATTACTCGCTACCGATATGCAGCCCGATGTGAATAGAGAACGTTTTCAAATGTGAGGCTTTCTTTCACACCTAAATCGGTAAATCTCTTGACCCACTGCCAAGCGCACAATAGAAGTATTAAAAAAACGGTATAGTTACTCGACCTACCACGAATCTTTTTACGGAAGAGTATCGCGCCAACCTTCGGCTCGAGCTTTCAATAGTGACGAGGGTCGGTAAAGCTTGGAAAATTGTGCCGCGATTGGATAATCCAGAGAATTGGAAGTAGATCGTGCTAGATGCTCAAATAATGGAAGATAGAACTTTGTTAGGACGTCTTTCGTAGTTTACCCTACCTTCCTTCATTTTCTCTTCTCTTGATGTGCTCGCACCAAAAAGTGACCATTTTTATGAACTATACGTTTTGAGATATTAATTAAAGATCATGGCTTGAGATCTTATAACATTAAAAATTTATTCAATTTATTCATTATTATTCATTCATCGTTAAAAAGGGCAAATGTCTTTTATAATCAAATAGCATTTGCATCGTTTTATTAAATTATTCCATGAAATATTAATACGAATGCCAATATTTAATCATATCATCGTTTATTTAAATGCTAGATGTTGTATAAAATATTGTATACATATATAAGTACTGTGGTTCGTTTTTTATGCAAATCAATTTTTCGTTATAAATATGTGTTCTTATATTAAAAAATTCTTATTCTTTAGATATTTTTATACAAACAAAATCGATATCTTGACATATCCATCAAATGAGTTTCCCATTTTAATAATCTAACGCATTTTTATTCCACCAGATAAAACTAAGGAAAAGTTACTGTACAAGGTCTGAGCACGACTCTTATATTTTTTAAGCGTAGCAGACTATACTTGTGTACGGAGAGTACATAAGTATGTGCATGCAACGACTAGTAGAGGTCGGTATCTAATTTTGTCGTCATTGCCGTTGTCGTCGTCGTCGTCGTCGCCGTTGTCAGAAGAACGGGAATGGACGTGAAGAACGAAAAGGTTAAGAGCGAGAATTCCTAGGCAGAGACAAGCTGAAATTTTCAGTGCCAGATTAAATGTGGAGGCTAGAACATTCCAGACGCTGGTCTTGTCTCGCAAATGTAACCCGTAGACAATTCATAAGAAGACGTCGAATACATATTAATTCATCGTAAAATAAAGCCGGGGCTATATTCCATGCATGGCAGCAATGAGACGAATGAGAGATTTATTCTATACTCGAATTAACGTCAAAATATTGATGCGTGTAAACTTGGATAGAAACAAGCACTGCTTTGTGTGGACTCTACCGAATCAAAATTACTAAATTTAATCTTTCAAATTAATTCGTAAACTTGGGCACTACTAATATTTAATTAGCATTCTAATGAGTGCCAATGGTTTGTAGCTAAGCTACAAATGGAATATCAATGCTGAGAAATCAATTCATTTTTCAGTTCATTCTGTCCAACACATCCACTTAATAAATATATAGTTTAAATTCTCAAAGCTTTCGTCACACGATGAAGTATATTTCATTTCTCGCGTCTCGCGACCCAGCTGTAATGTCTATCTTCTTACCCTTTCGCTGTCGATCCTTCGAAGCTTCCGATGTCTTTACCCAACATGGTAAGTACCAAAATTCGAACGTCACTTGGAAGTTTTCGCCCGTCCTAGGACACGTCTAAACAGTTTAGCCAGCGACGCGCGCACGAGAAACGTCGGGCAAACCGAAACTTTCTGCGGAAACCTCACGAGCTTTCGTAATTGGAGAAGGGGTAAGAGACGAAGAAGGACTTGGGTCTGCTTCTCGATTCTGCATATACCTCGCAAAGTAAACTGGTAAACTGGTAATGTTCATCTGGTGGAAATTGTTATGCCCTGTCAGAAGCAAGCTACGGGTGACGTAGGTCCGAGGCGAATCCGAGTTTCGAGATCACCCTAAGAGGATTAGATGAGGGAGAACTGCCCACAACACACCAGCGTAACACGTTGTGTGCGATTCTTGGGGTATTACGAGCGAAAATCGATGCCGTTTCACCATATTTTCTCAAGCATTTATCAACTTAACCGCTATACCGTCCCATACATAAATTACACGTCGTAATTTTAATTACGCAAACATGCTACTTAAATATTTACTGTCCCCTTTTAAAGTTACACTTATTCATCGTATCAATTTCTTCCAAACGCGTTTCACTTGATACTCTACGGACGTATCGATTAGCGTCGGATAGCGATTTGCGAAGTAAAACGTGCGCGTAGGGTTACCCATCCACGTGATTGTCGTTGAAGTCGTTAAAATAGAACGGGTCGGCGCAGTTGGATCCGAACAAACGGGGAATAACGAACGCGTTTTGCGTTAACGATGTGACGTTACGCTATTATCCCGCAACTCGAGAAGAAAAGTGACCCGATTGTCGATGCAACGAACGAGCATGAAACTCGTCAATGTCTGAGTAATTCATTTAATCGTGAAGAACGCGACGACGCGTTCGACAATAATTGCGTCTTACCGATCGTCGCCGGTTCTCGTTTCACTACGCGCGTCCACCTAACAATAACGTCCTCGCTTTCGGTATGTATTCTAGCTTGGACCGTTGAATTACATGCCTCGTTCGTTGAATTACATGATCGGCTTCAAGAGAGATAAGCGACCTCTCTCTCTCTCTCTCTCTCCCTCTCTCGACGAGTCACCTTTGGTCGTGACGCCGGCCAAGAGAGCGCGATTGTATTCCATCGAGAGGATCGTGCTTCGATTTGGCCCGAGAATTAATTGCACCGGGATTCGACTTTGCATAGCTGTCGGAGCCGTCGCCCCTTCACGAAACTCGCTAAGTTTCGGGACGACGATCACGAATATATCGTAGGCCCTTCGATTACGAAGACTTGACAGTTCTACTGAAATTTGCATCGAGAATTTTGAGCAATCGATAGTTTACTTTCTCGTAATAACGATGCCCCGCGGCGTTTGATAGCTCGTAACAATAAGATCATGAAAAAGCTTTTCTCCATATCTTTAAATTTCTTTTCTTAGGAAAAACTTTCAAGATATGACAATCACATTTAGTAATAAAAACTAATTAAAATGAAGATACGAGAAACGCTTTAAAAAAATAATAAAACTGGTAAAAACTATTTGCTGTGAAAATTAATTTCATGTGACATTTGATGATTGCATTTATTCAGAAATACGCTTATTTATCGTCGGCTTTTTACGGTTCGCCATAAATCTTAATCTTCATTAAGAATTTCTTTATACGACACACACAATCTCACACGGATTAGAGACTTTACGCGAACAATGCCACTTTATCAGTCAGTGTAACCCCGAAACTACCTTGTTCTTGCTCTAAACGACATTAAGAGACACCCTTCTCGCGCGGGCTATGTATTACCGTGTTAGCGTGGGTTATGTTGTTCTTGTGCCAGACAATGCGGAGAGCGCTATTTCTGAGGATATGACAAGCTAATTTCACCGTAACTTCCGTTGATATCTTTCCGTAGACTACTTCTGAAGCTGGCAAAAGCGAAATATAAGACACGGAAGTATGACAAACTCGTTTTTTTGTCGTTTCACAAAGTATTTTCAAAAATGAAACTCTCACTATTCTACACGAATGTCTAATAATATTACTCTCGCGAAATCTCGATCGGGATCCATTATTAAACTTTACGTAATTTGATAAGCCCGCGCAATCACGGGACTCGAGGGCTCATCTCCTTATCACATTTCACGTCGGAAAGTGGTGATTGTGGAATTTTTAACAAGGTCTCTCGATGAATATGCGCGTGTTATAACATACTAAGATCCAGAAATAAAACCACGCCATAAAGTGCGACAGTTCTGCATAATGAACATATGCGCGGGGAGGAAGTGCATAGAGGGACGACGGGAGGGGGGGGGGGAATGCCCCGTTGCACCCGGGACTCTATTTTAATACTGACTTATCTAAGAGCGGCGTAATAACGCACCTAAAAAAGCGCTATCGTTAAAACTTCTTGCGAGTCGGGGCAGCACACCGAGGTATCTTTAATTTATGCAGTGTCCGCGTTTCGGGCGTTACGAGAGTGAGAGCAGAGGGGGGGGGAGGAACGGGGGTGAGACAGAGACACAGACTAGCCCTCCGCGTTACGGTGGCTTTCCCGGAACGAAGTTGAAATTCATTATAAGCAGACATTAATTTTACGCGGATTAATAACGACGCTTCCCTGTCCTTTATCACGGAACACCGTGAGTCGGCGCCGGCGCGACGCCGCGTCTCACCCTGCTGTGTTTTAATTAATTCGTGCCACGCGCACGTGTTTGTGTAGCCTGTCATTTCGTCGCTGTCTTTCAATTGGCCGAAAGAGCCGCGACTGAGCGAGGGATGCGAAATTGTAGGGTAGACGTCA